TCGCATTTTCACGTCTAACACTCGACTTCCAGGCAACCGTCCGTCTTTTTCCCTCGTAGGATAGTCTCGACGTACGTCGCCGTTACCGTCCAGTAGTCTTTGTCTTGCAACATCTTTGCCACGATGTTGTTGGGCGTGATGCTTCCAAGTGTCGTCTCCAGTCTTTGCCTTTCGTCGTTCCAGTGAGAGCATTCGAAAAATGTATGCTCTGCGTCGTCACATTCGTGTCCGCAGTATTTACAGTCGGCGCTGTTAACTTTGTCTCTGTCAAACAGATATTTCCTGAAGTACCCGTGGCCGGTAAGGAACTGGGTCAGGAAAAAATTTACTTCCCCAAATTGCCTCTCCGTCCACGGCCTCAGGTCGTCGATGAGTCGTCTCGTCCATGCTCCGTTCGTGCTCATCCTCCATCGTTCGTTCCAGTCCGTCATCGTCCTAGTTCTTTCGTCCTGGGCAGCTTTCGTTATGGTCACGTCGCCGTTTCGTCCGTTCTCTGGCGAGCAGGTTTATCGGGATAGCCCCCGCCACCACCAGAACAGCCTTAGCCGAGACCGTCCTGTAGGCGCAGGCAATCCTCAGTGCTCCCTGTCTTTGTACGTTTGTCAGTCGTTTGCAGTGTTTCTTGACCCCCAACGCATCGGCCCACATCTCCGCCCCGTAGAGCATGATCGAGTGGGTCGTTGTCAGCAGTAGTCATCTCTTTCATTGTCTCGGTCCAAATGTGTTTGCCATAAGACGACTGAGAGCAGAAATCCTCTCTGCCGCCTTCCTCGCTGTTGTATGTGCGGCCAGAAGGTCATCTTCGTATCTAGGGTCTCCCCCAGATACTTGACCACCCCACTGGTCCGCACCGGTACCTCTCCGACTGTCATGGGAATCAGGGTATTAATCCTGCTTCCCGTCAGAAGGATGAGTTCTGTCTTGGCCAGAGCAAGGCTAAGTACGCGTCCAGTTATCCATCTATCGTATAGGTACTCCCTCACCACCCGCATCAGGTATTCGGGAACCCTGAAAGTTTGTAAGGCTTCCAGAATATCCCCCCACCGAGCGGAGTTGAAGGCATTCCTGACGTCAAGAGTCGCGAGAAGTACTATTGGCCTCCCTCCGTAGCACACGCGCCTCGTCCGCCGAAAGGCGTCGGTCACGTGTCGAATCGTCTCTATAGTTGAGCGGCCCCGTCGGAATCCGTGCTGATTTCCTGCCAGTCCTCCGTTTGCAGTTACTGCGTTCCTCAGTCTCGGTTTTAGTAACGCTTCGTAAAGTTTACCCGCTGTGTCTAGGAGACTCAGGGGCCTATAGGAAGACGGACTATTCGGCTTTCCCTTTCCTTTATGCAGGACAACCAATCTAGCCGTCTTCCATCGTCTGGGAAAGATGCCCGCCCGTAAGACCGCGTTATACGTGTCCAGGAGGAGTCCTGGTCGTGCGCCCGCGATCTGCCGGAGGATCTCTCCCGGAATACAGTCTGGTCCGGGTGCCTTACCAGGCTTGATCGTGGACACAGCTTTAGTGAGCTCTGCCCCGATAAACTCTGGCACTGTCGTCTCTTGTTTGTTCGTCACTTCATCCGTCTCTGGTTGGCTTGGGAAAAGTCCATCTACTATTGCTTTTATGGTGTCTTTGTCTTTTGATTCAGAAGGGCCTAGGGCCCCCAGTTTCTTGGTCACAATCTTGTAGCCAAGTCCCAGGGGTCCCGCTTCACTTCTTCACACAACTCTCTGGCGCATCGGTTTCTACTGTCCTTTATTTTAGTAGTCAGTCTCTTACGTGCCGTCTTGTACGCTGTCGATAGTTCGTCCGCGCCTGGTCTGTTCTTTTTCCGCGCGCGATTCATCTTCCGGCGGCAGGCAATGCATTCCCTACGGAGGAGGCCAATCTCGTCCGTCCACCAGTACATTGCTCGTTTGTTCATTCGGCCCTTGCGTCGAGTCATCGTGGCGTCGCACAGTTCCGTTATCAGTTCCATTGTCTTGTCCGTTATCCATTCGGCACGCTCCCGCGGACCAAGCTCTGCCGGGACAGACTCGGTGGGTAATGGTGCCTCCTGTAGCAGTTTGTCAAACAGCTCTCTGTCTTGTCGTCGTAGGTTCCAATACGTTGGAGTCCTGTCTCTAATTTATCCGTTTCGTACGTTCGTCGATTGATTTGTCACCTCAAAGACGATGTGTTGGTGATCGCTGTCTGTATAGTCCTCGGTCACCCGCCATCCTCTTATCCGCGACGAGATCCTGTCTGATGTCATCGTCACATCGGGTATTGAATATCCGAAGCCCGGTCGTCTATAGGTCGTTGTCGTCCCTTGGTTGACCACTACTAGATCAAGCCTTGTTGCCATCTCCAGAAGCAGCCTTCCTCATTTGTCCGTCGTAGTCATACCCCACTTGATCGCTCTCGCGTTCATGTCTCCCGCGACGACAAAGTCACCCGGGAGATCTGTGAGGGTGTCTTCCAGCTTACCAACTTTTTCCTCGAACACTGCCATCGTGCAGTTTGGTGTCAGATATACGCTGACGTAGGTGACGGCATCCACCCTCACCCACGCGTAATCTTCCCCCCTGCCAGACGCCTGTATTCTCCTAGCCGGTTTGTCTCTGACCCATATGGCCGACGTACCGAGGGTATTCGAGAACCAGCCGTCCTGTTCTCGTAAGTCCCACAGTTGCTCGCTCAGTATCAGTATATCTGCGTTTCGTTCCTTCGCTGTCTGTGATATAAGCAGCTGGGCTGCCTCACACCTACGCAGGTTTCCTTGTAGGATTCCTGTCATTATCGTGTCTGCTTCCGGCACTTCTCCAGCGCGGCCCGGTAGACCGCGCACGCTCCCGTTCCCGGGACGTCTCTCCGTTGCACGCGCCTCGGAACATAGGAAACACGTCGGCCGCTTGTTGGGGCAGGCTCTCCCAGCATGGCCGGTCTCGCCGCACCTCCAACAGCATTGTCCTCTGTCAGGTCCTTTGCAGTCCGTTCGTCTATGTCCGTATCCGAGGCACCGGTAGCACCTCGGGACCGTCTTTCTCAAAGCCGACAGTTGACCCAGCCGATCTTGATTCTGCCCTTCTTGAGCAGTTTGTGGGCCGTGTCTCTGTCTGCTTCGAACACCACCATACAAACGTCGTACTTATTAGGTCCGAAAATGTGGATCTTAAAGTCCACATCTTGTCCTGTCTCTCGTTTCAGTGCGTTCTGTACATCGTTCGTATCTGTAACACAGTCCAGGTCTAGTATCTCTAGCGTCTGTCCGTGTGTCATGTCTCGTACATTACCCTCATTTCCAAGAGTAACCTGAAGTTTCTCCTGGAACTTCCGTCTTTCGTCTGCGTTACAGCGAAAGCGCATGAAGAGTCCTCCATCCTTAGTCTTTTGATAACCCGAAATACTCACTTTAGAGCCTTCGGGATTGATCTCTGTCTTTAGTCGGCGTAGAGTATCCGCATACGTTCGTCCGTCGTTTGGCCGTATCAGTATAACGTTGGTCCCCCCTTTCGGCGAAGACCAGCCGCCCTGGGCCGGTTCTTGTCCAGTTCGGACCGCTTGTTTCCGTGGGTAGGCGTCGCCGCTGCGGGTGTCGAAACTTGTGGCCTTTCCGTCCGCGCGCCCAGCGCCACCACAAGGGTAGTCTGTTGTGCCTTCTGTTTGAGGAAAGTCGTCTCCATCGTTTGGTCATTAGTCTTCTGTTTAGACTTCCTCTTTTTTCTGTTCGCGGGGTTCACCGAGGTCCATCCCGACTCATCCGCAACCTTTTGATAGGCCACAGCTTGCTTAGGGCTGGCCCCGGTTGCCTCCCTCTTTCTTTTCTGTCTTTCTATCCTCCTATCGTTTACGGATTCCAGTAGGGGATTTAGGCAGTCACATTCACTCCATGCAATCTCCACCGCCTCCTTTATTACAGCCATACTAATCGTTATGGCCATACTAATATTTCTCTGTATCTTCATCCGTGCCTCCATCTTTTCAAGCGCGGCGTCAATGCGCCTGAGCTGCGCACGAAAAAGCTGGAGGTTTTCTGTCGTCTGTCCGTTGTCATTGTCCACGTCTTTCATGTCGACGTCTGTGTTGGTGGTCGACGTTGTTGGCGTGCTGGGTTGCACTTGAGGCTGCTTTTCAGAGTCCTCGTTTTTCCGCGCAGGTAGTACTGTAGAGCCTGCTATATTAGTTTTTATGTTCTCCGTGGTTCTTTCTACGTTGTGTGTATAATGTATCGTGTAGTGGCCAGAATAAAACTCATCGTGACAGGAGACCAGCGATCCGTCCTCGACCCCCCCCCCCCCAGTACCAGAGCGCCCCGACAGTCCAGTGGCCTCGGAATACAATGGCAGCCGCGAACGACCACCACCATAAACGTTCCTAGCCCCTACCTCCCGCAGCATGGACCCATCCGATCGCCAATCGGCACTACTACGAGAGGCAAGATTTCTAGCTTTCGCTATACCAATGTGCGGGGCAGCCTCCCAAGTTGGCTATACCTGGGTTCGGGCCCCATCCTATTGGCGGCCCAGCAGTGCCAGCTGGTGTTAACGCTGTACCCTCTTAGAGTGGAGGCACTACTGGCATGGGGAGGTCCTCTCTTGATCACCTTTATCTCCCTTTCACGATTCGTATCTGCTGGAATCCTTAGTCTGTCCGCCTCAGTCTCTCTCGAGCGATGCTCGTTTATAGAGCCCTCATCCTGGCGTGTTCGTATGGGATTAACCGTTTATAGGTAACCCATCATCATGTTCTCTGGTGTTCCTCGTTTATAGTTTTATTACTATTACTATTAATTAAACTTAGCTTAACATGTATACTTTAACTTCAACAATAAACCAAATAATCTAACAACGATTTTAACCGATAAAACACAATTATTAATTAACTACTGCAATCATACCATAACTTTTATTGGACTTACATTATTAAAATATAAAATTGTTTAATGCTATTTTTAATACTAGAAAAAATTACTTGTACGCATTAGTTTTGGAAGTATTATTGTTACTTTATCTAACTTTTACACGTTCATCATGCCTGCTAGAAACATTATTCCAGAAGAACAAGAATTACATCAACAAGCTAAACGAGTTCGTGATAGAGAAAATGCACGTCGCAGACGTCAAGCAGCTCGAGATGTAATTTATCAAAGAAACATAATAATAGAACCTGATTATTTAGGCCCTATGAATATATTATGTTCACATTGTAAAGCTAAACATTTTAAAGATGAAATGATTTCTAATAAAGGTTTATCATTCAGTGATTGTTGTAGTCATGACACAGTTTCATTAGATCCTTTACCTGAATTCCCACCTCAACTTTATTCATTATTTACTGGCCAACATTCTAAATCAAATTTATTTATGAATAATATTCGACCATATAATAACTCCCTTTCTTTTGCATCTTTAAATGCTAATTTATTTGATTTTGCGCTAAATCGTCCTGGACCATTTTGCTTTAAAATTCAAGGAAAAATATACTATCAAATAAATACAGAATTATATCCAAATGACGGAGAAAATCCAACTTACGGACAACTATTTATAGTTGATCAATTACAAGCATTAGATTATCGATTACATAATAATTCAAAATTAGACTCTGAACTTTTACTAACTTTAGGCGGAATTATACGTGAAAATAACATTTTTGCTCAATCTTACGAAATGATGAGAGTAGAAATAGAAAGACAACAATCATTATTATCCAATGATAACCCTTTTCAACCGGAATTACAATTACTATTTTCTTTGAAACCAGGTGTAGATAGAAGACGATATAATTTTCAGTGCGTTAATGAAGTTGCTGCAATATTTTCAACCACAGCAGATGGAGAAATTCCAGAATCATATGTGACAATTAGAAATAAAAATACAAAAAATTTACAATACATAAGCACTATGGATCCTAATGTAGAACCCTGGATTTATCCTTTGTTTTATCCTTACGGTACTCAAGGATGGCGCAAAAATTTAACGCGCGTTAATGATACTAAACGTATTTCTCGAATGGCGTATTATAAGCATCGAATAGCCGTACGTGCAGACGAATTTAATCCTTTCATAAGGGGTGGTAGATTATTTCAACAATGGGCAGTCGATAGTTACGTGAAAGTTGAAAAAGATCGCATACAATATTGTAAAGACCATCAAAAAGAATTACGAGCTGATACTTATAAAGGTCTTAGTGATTTTATGTAAAATACTGCTATTAAAGTTGGTGGACAAGTTGGTAAAACCGTTGTTCTTCCTTCAACTTTTACTGGATCGCCGCGTTACATGCAACAATGTTATCAAGATGCTATGGCAATCGTAAATGAAAAAGGGAAACCTGATGTTTTCGTTACAATGACATGTAATCCCAACTGGCTTGACATTCAAGAAAACCTTTTGTCTGGTCAACAAGCTTCAGATAGACCAGATATTGTATCTCGAGTGTTTCATTTGAAAAAAGATCGACTACTTGATGTAATAGTTAAAAAAAAATTTTTTGGCCAAATTGCTGCTTTCGTTTACGTTATTGAGTTTCAAAAAAGAGGTTTACCACATATGCATTTATTAATAACATTAGCAAATGGATTCAAATGGACTACTCCTGAAATTGTTGATAAATATATATCAGCTGAGTTTCCCAATAAAATAAATTATCCACGGTTATATGATATCATATTAAAACATATGGTACACGGACCTTGCGGTGACTGGTGTATAAAAAATGGTAAATGTTCTAAAAAATTTCCTAAGAATTTTCAGAATGAAACTACTATGGATGAAAATGGTTATCCGAATTATCGACGAACAAATGATGGCATTATTCACGAATGCTCCAACGGTCATCAAGTTGATAACAGATGGATAGTATCTCATTGTCGAGAACTATCAGAAATGTTTGACTGCCATATAAATGTCGAAGCAGTATCGAGTATTTTAGCTGTAAAATATTTATATAAATATATATACAAAGGGCATGATGCTGCTACAGTCGTTATTCAAGAATCCGAAACATGGTGTAGGTGTTTATCATGATGAGATTAAAAAGTTTATAGAAACTCGATATGTCGGCCCTGTTGAAGCTATCTATCGTTTATTAAGTAAACCATTACAAGATAAAAGCCATAGTATTATTAGATTACCTGTGCATTTACCCAATAACACGGGCACACAAAAAATAAAAAGTGGTCTGTATCAAAAACAACACACATATATCCCCATGTATTTTGCCACGCTGAATCCGAATCCGCAGTCAGTTTGACCCCAGCACGTCAGGATCAAGGTCATTTGAAGGTCAAACTCGAATAAAAGTAGTATAAAAAAATGTAACTAGTATTTCTATGGTTTCGAGGGTCGCTGAATATAAATCCGTCATCCCCTTGACCCAAGCACGCCAGGTTCAAGGTCATTTCAAGGTCAAACATAGATATTGCACGAAAAGTTGAATTCTGACTACAGATTTTGAAAGTACGGAAAAAATTACGTTCAGAGACCGTTTTTTCAATTTTTTTTATCGTGAATCCAGCGGTCATTTTGAGGTCATAGTATTTTGATCCCATGAAAATCAGTATGACCATTTTGAAAAAACAGAAGTACGTCTTCAATGAATAAAAAAACTCTTTCCATACGTTTTGACGGTTGCTGAATCCAAATCCGTGATCTCCGTGACCCAAGCACATCAGGTTCAAGGTCATCTGGAGGTCAAACTCAAGAAAACGTAGTTTAAAAAAATGTAACTAGTATTTCTATGGTTTTGAGGGTCGCTGACTCCAAATCCAAAATTAGAATTGCTCCGACTACTCGAGTTTGGTGTGCAAAGTGATAGAATTTATACTTCTCTTCTCTTGTAACGGACCCTTTTATCTTCAAAAGATCTATGCAGCGGTTTTCTTTTTCTTTTTTCCGTTTCTGACTCGTTTTCCCTTTTAAGCATCCAGCAAAAATCTGCCATCATATTTACATCCCATCTTCCTTGATACTGGCGTTCCATCTCTTTGATATCTTGATGAAACCGTTCACCCTGTTATTCGCTATAGCCTGAAAACGTAAGATTTTATATCACACCTACGTTTCTCGTGTGCCGGAACCCAGGGCACCTCCACGCGGTGACGGCAGGAAACGGCTTTTTTTCTTTTTTTTGTTTTCCGGCAAAGCTCTGGGGTGAAAGCACGATGCCGTCATGGCCGGCACACGAGAAGGTAAGATGCAGGGTTTCGGATGCCCAGTATCGGCGGTTGGTCAGGGTGAGCAAGCGGGCCCGCAAGCGTCGTCATCAAGTGACCGCAAGTCTAGTAGAATAGAATCTACTTTTCATAGGTGTGATGGAAAAACAGATGATTTCTGTTATGTTTGTGGAAAATTTGAAGTGCCAAAATATCGAAGGCTGTTATCAGATAGGCTTATAACTATTTACGAAGAATGTTTTAATTTAAAGGTTGTCAGCCAAAATACAGTCTGGGTACCTCATATGATTTGCAATTGTTGCAGAACAATATTATCACGATGGGAGAAATGTCGGACTCGTAGTCAGCTTAAATTTTCACAGCCTATGATATGGTCTGAACCTTTATGTCGAGACGATTGCTATTTCTGTATGACCAAGACTTTTGGCTTTAACGCAACTACAAAAAATAAAATCGTGTACGCTGAAGTAGCATCAGTAAAAAAGCCAATACCGTTAGAAGAGGAAGCTACTGACCAAGAACCTATGGAAGTTGATACATCACTTGCACCAAAGGAAATGGAAGTTGTTGAATCCTCAGATGAGGAAAGTGACAGTCAAAGTGATAGCAAAGAAGATGAATATTTACCAAGCGCTGTCTCGAATAATACCCCCGAAACTTTCAATCAAAAAGAGTTGAATGATCTCGTAAGAGATTTGGGATTACCCAAAGATGGAGCCGAGTATCTGGCCGCAGTATTGAAAAAGAAGAATTTGTTGTCCAAGGGGACCAAGGCTTATGTTTATCGGAATAGAGAAGAGAAGTTTCGTAAGTTCTTTGCCAAAGATTCAGAGAACTCGATGACATTCTGTACAGATGTGAAAGGATTAATGAATGAATTGAAACCTAATATTTATAAAGATGAAGAGTGGAGGTTATTTATTGACTCTTCTAAACGAAGCCTCAAAGCTGTACTTTTGAACAATGGAAACTCTTTTGCGCCTATTCCGATAGCTCATTCAACGAAGTTGAAGGAAACATACCAGAATTTGGAAGTTGTATTAGAAAAAATCAATTACTCGGATCACAAATGGAAAGTGTGCGGTAACCTTAAAATTTCAACTCTGATTCTGGGTCAGCAGTCAGGTTTTACAAAATATCCCTGTTTCTTGTGTCTGTGGGATAGTAGAGATAGAAAGCATCACTATGTACAGAAAGAGTGGCCAAAAAGAACTGATTTCAATCCAGGCGTACAAAACGTTCTCCGGGATCCTTTAATAGATCCTTCAAAAATTTTGCTCCCACCCCTTCGTATCAAACTTGGTCTTATGACAGAAGTTTCCAGGCATAAGTGATGCCAAACTAAAAGAAGGTGTTTTTGATGGTCCCCAAATCCGCACTTTATTCAGAGATAACGACTTTATCACAAAGATGACCCCTGTAGAATTGGCTGCATGGTCAAGTTTCAAGAAAGTAGCAGAAAATTTCTTCGGGAATCAGAGAAGTGAAGATTACGAAACTTTGGTGGAAAATTTATTAAATAGCTACAAAGAATTAGGATGCTTAATGAATTTAAAATTGCACTTTCTACATTCTCATCTTGATTACTTCCCAGAAAATCTCGGAGACTATAGCGAAGAACAGGGTGAACGGTTTCATCAAGATATCAAAGAGATGGAACGCCAGTATCAAGGAAGATGGGATGTAAATATGATGGCAGATTTTTGCTGAATGCTTAAAAGGGAAAACGAGTCAGAAACGGAAAAAAGAAAAAGAAAACCGCTGCATAGATCTTTTGAAGATAAAAGGGTCCGTTACAAGAGAAGAGAAGTATAAATTCTATCACTTTGCACACCAAACTCGAGTAGTCGGAGCAATTCTAATTTTGGATTTGGAGTCAGCGACCCTCAAAACCATAGAAATACTAGTTACATTTTTTTAAACTACGTTTTCTTGAGTTTGACCTCCAGATGACCTTGAACCTGATGTGCTTGGGTCACGGAGATCACGGATTTGGATTCAGCAACCGTCAAAACGTATGGAAAGAGTTTTTTTATTCATTGAAGACGTACTTCTGTTTTTTCAAAATGGTCATACTGATTTTCATGGGATCAAAATACAATGACCTCGAAATGACCGCTGGATTCACGATAAAAAAAATTGAAAAAACGGTCTCTGAACGTAATTTTTTCCGTACTTTCAAAATCTGTAGTCAGAATTCAACTTTTCGTGCAATATCTATGTTTGACCTTGAAATGACCTTGAACCTGGCGTGCTTGGGTCAAGGGGATGTCGGATTTATGTTCAGCGACCCTCGAAACCATAGAAATACTAGTTACATTTTTTTATACTACTTTTATTCGAGTTTGACCTTCAAATGACCTTGATCCTGACGTGCTAGGGTCAAACTGACTGCGGATTCGGATTCAGCGTGGCAAAATACATGGGAATATATGTGTATTGTTTTTGATACAGACCACTTTTTATTTTTTGTGTGCCTGTGTAATCATTCGATCATTATTTCTGATAATGTAAATAATCCCTTGACGTTACAAAATCTACTAAACAGTACGAGCAGTATGTTGCTCGATTATTTTAAATTGAATAGCGAAAATGCCTTAGCTAGGCAGTATTATTATGGAGAAATTCCAAAACATTTCACACATAAAAAACAGAAAAATGAAACAGTGTATTTAGATAAATGGAATCCACGAAAAAAACATTTCAATGTCATTAGGCGTATGTACTCTGTTAGTCCAACACAACTTGAATTATTCCACTTAAGATTATTATTATTACATGTCAAAGGAGCCGTAAGTTTTGAAAGTTTAAGAACTGTTGATAATGTAATACACCCTACTTTTACAGCAGCTTGCTTAGCATTGGGTCTCATTGAAAATGATGAAGAATGGAAAAGAGCAATAGAAGAAGGAACAAAATGTATGATGCCTCAAAAACTTCGTTATCTGTTTGTACGAATCCTTATACATTGTCAACCACTTAATCCAGAAGAATTATGGGACCAATTTAAAAATCAACTATCTGAAGATTTTTCTCGATACCACGATGAAAGCATAAGCAATAAAATGGCGTACTTTCACATTGACACATTATTAAATGAAGAAGGTCGTAGTTTAGCTGACTTTCCTACAATGAATCAATTCGTAGAAACAGAATTTCCATGTCTACACCAGTTAGCATTTCCCAGATCTTTGCAACCAACTGCAGAACGAGGACAAGATCGATATAATAACTTAAACCCACAACAGAAACAAATTGTTGATATGGTTGTTGAAGCCGTCCAAAATATCAATTATACTGGTCCGAAACGTATTTACATGGATGGACCGGGAGGGTCCAGAAAAACATATGTTTATGAAACTATATATTGTAAATTAAACTCAGAAAACATTAAAATATGCGCGATGGCATTTACCGGGATTGCAGCTACATTACTTCCACACGGAAAAACTGTACATAAAACATTTGGTTTACCAGTTCCAATGTTTCAAGATTCTTCTTCCAATATCAAAGCACAATCTAAAGAAGCTCAACTACTACGAGAAACTAAAGTATTTATTTGGGATGAAATTTCAATGGCTCCAAGATATGCTTTAGAAATTGTTAATAAAACTTTACAAAATTTCATGAATTATAACTTACCGTTCGGAGGAAAAGTTATTATAGTGGGAGGAGATCTAAGACAATTCTTGCCAATTAAAGTTCATGGAACTCGGAGTGAAATATTAAGTCTTTGCGTAAAATACAGCCCAGTATGGAATTATTTTACTAAATTTTCATTGACTACAAATATGAGGGTTTTACCAAATGAAATAGAATTTTCAAAATTTTTGTTCAATCTTGGCAACGGCACGTTAAATGATCTAAATGATAATGTAAATCTTCCTGAGCAATGCATATTACCTCAAAATGTTAACCTGATCGACAGTATATTTAGAAAATTATTTGAAGAAAAGAAATTTCAAGAAATGAGTAAATGTGCTATATTATCAGCTAGGAATGTTGATGTAGATGATATCAATAAACAAATTACTAATTTACTGAACATTGACTCTGAACGTATATATACTGCTATTGATGTCGTTATTAATAACAATAGCGAAATAGATGATGTTATTTTACCAGAACATTTACATAATTTAAATCCTCCAAGTTTGACCCCTCATGAATTACGCTTGAGAAAAAATTGTATCGTAATGTTAATAAGAAATATTATCATAAATGAAGGCTTGTGCAATGGAACGAGATTGCAAATAATAGATTTATTAAACCACTTATAAAATGTAAAATTTTAACAAGTGACAGAGCAAACGAAATTGTCTTTTTAAATCGTATAACCTTATATTCTGAAAATTATTATACATTCACATTCAAGAGAAGACAATTTCCAATAAAACTAGCTTTTGCAATGGCCATTAACAAAGCTCAAGGACAAACTTTTACAAATACTGGTATTGATCTAAGAAGAGATGTATTTAATTATGGACAACTTTACGTAGCAATGTCCAGAGTTAAATCTTGGAATTCTGTCAAAGTATATTTAGAAAACCAAGTAGAAACAAGAAAAGTAAAAAATTTTGTTAACAAAGAATTGTACGTATAAAACTGTTGGATTAGTTTGGACCATATACAAATACATGCAACATTATATATAAGATAACAATTAACGATTATCAGTGTCGAATTCTTCAATTTTCATTTTTATTTAGAAAACAAATAAATTATTCAATTTTACATAAATAAAAAAAATTTTTAAGTAAAAATAGTGCTAAAAATGAGGGCGCGAAGCGCGCTAAATAAATCTAGTCAAGGCATAAAATCGAAAATGTTTGAGCCTGACAGCGAAAAAATTGTCATTGAATTTTTTATTTGTAACACGGACAAAGATATTATGAGTGCTTTCTTAAAATTCAAGGACAAATTAGATATTTTCAAAGTTCTACGTAAAAAAAAATATGAAAATGCCAAAGTATTTTACCAAGTAGTACAACCATTTCACAAAAGGTTTAGTGAATTTTGTTTTAAATTAATTAAAATACCTGCTTATACAAATCACAGAGTTCAAAATAAACTTGCCAAAAAATTTAGATATTATCCAAGAAAAGCAAATACGAGAGCTTTTCTACTTACTGAAATGTAATGAAACCAAAAGAGAAAAAATGATTTCAACTGAGTTTTATTATTAGAGAACAACCAAAATTTATGAGAATGTACTTTGTTCTTTTATAAAGATAAATATTTATTTATTTAAAATACTACATTATTGAAAAAATGTATTGTTCTATGGCATATTATTTATGTAGATTATATAAAATAGTAATTAAAAATAACATAAATAAAATCGTTTTTAAAATGAATATTTGATATTTTGTAATATCAAAGAAATAAATACATTAAATTTAATACAAAATTTTTGTAATTAATAAATATATTAACTCATTGATATACATTTGTTTTAATTTTGTTTTTTAAAAATGATTATCTTATATTCTTCATCGTCATTTATTAGATCATAATTATCGTACAAATGAGTATCAAAGTATATAGCCACAAGCTTAGAAGACCTAGCTGATGTTAATCGATTTCTTCTAACTGAATGCACATACGACCACTCAGAAAACAGTCTCTCCAACTGGCCAATTGAAGCACAGAGCAATTGTAATTTCAAAGCTAATTCGCTTAATTCATCATAAAATGGCTGTGTAGCTCTCCAAAAAACTGCCCAATAATTTCTATCTAATAAATGTGCAAAAATACTAGTTCCATTTTTATATTCTTCTAATTGTAACAATCCTTGTGGTGATAAAATTTCTCTAAAAAATGTATTAACATCTTCAACATATTGTTGTTTTTCAGCAAATGTACGGCCCTGATACTGGGGATGCTAAAAATTGGGAGTCAAACCATACATATTAATTGCTAGTTTTCGTCTTGCTTCAATCATTAGTTCAATGCGATCATTCAATGCGGGCATTTCTAATCGCAACCACAATTCTATAGCTTATGCAGTACACTCAGCTTTCTGGCAAGCATTTGTCAACTCACATATAGAATCCAGCATGAGGAGATTGAATTACAATTGCTGTGCAAGATCTTCATTGTGAAGAAAATTGTAATTGTCGTCAGAAATATGCTTTCTAGCATCTGGTCGCCTTGAGATATCTCGCATTAAATCTAAATTTTTTAAGCACCTTCGCATTGCATCTCGATGAGAGCACTATCGGGTTTGTCCAATCAAAATAATACTATTACCTCCTAGCTCTGTCAACAATCGTTCTAAATATGTATGCTTAAAATCATTTAATAATTTATTTACTTGCTTAGCTAATTCTTCATTTACTGCGCTTTTAGCTAGCAGATTGCCACTGTGGCTGTTACAAGTTGTGTTCTATATATTAACAAGTCTTCCCATGAGCTTCATATTTGCAGCATTATAAGCGATGACTGCAAATATATTAATGTTGTACTTTTCTCTCGCCATATCAATACAATAATTAACGAACCGACGAAGTGCTTCGTCAGTTTCACTTGCTGTACTAAAATTAGCTGCATGGAGAAATATATATTTCTTCTCGCTTAAATCATCTAAACGAATAATAGCAACAACATTTTACGTATTAGCTGACTTGTTCTTCCAACCATCAATTAATAACACACAATTTCGTGTTCTTATATTTGCGATTGATTCTTGCATCTCATTGTAACATTCATTAAGTATACGGTTTGATAGTGTGATTCTGGTCGGTGGAATGAAACGTGGATTGAGTGTTTGAACAAAATTTTTGAAATGTATAGATTCGACGATTACAAAAGGTATATTATAGCCAAAGAAAAATTTTCCAAGCAGTTTATCTAAATTTTTGTTTTCTAAATTTCCTGAAAAAAATATTCATCGATCTTAATATTTTTATCTCTATCATAAGATCGGTTTTTTTAAATATATATCGAAATTCGTACCTGCCATGGTTAGAAAGTAAAAAACAAAATATATTAATAATTGATAAAACTTTTTATACTTTTGAAATTCTAACTTATGTGATGGAATTAAAACTTACAAATTTTGCAAAAATATATGGAAAAATATGGTTTTTTGCTGAACTTAGTCAAGAAGTACTTGGGTTACTTTAGTTCTGTTGTGTTAAAATTTAAATTGTGTAGCAGATGCGCCTGCGCAATAACGTATTGAGCATGCGCAATGGGTTATTGGAGTTTTCGACGTTACATACATTAATTACTCATTTCTACATTTTCTACCGGTTTCTTACATGTATGGTAAGAAACCTCCGAATCGTGTCATTTATCCACGACTGGTTGATACCCTTCATTTTTAGGAATGAATAAACGAACAAACGAACATTGACAAAGCAGTATTTCCTAAATTCCATTGTTTGAGAATGTCTGTCAGCCCATCTTAACTTATCTTTAATCTTTAGATATTTTATATACATTTATAAAGCTTGTACTGAAAAATATAAAACTTGGATCTTCCCAGTAATGAGAATCCGATGAGGCTATAAAAAATTTCATTTTTATGAAGTCATATCTCATCTATATCATTTATATAACTATGCCTAAGATTCACAGTCGGTAGTCAGGGATTGTATTTCTCGTTCCGGTTCCAGTGTTTGTTTATATTTTCAAAATTCGTTCGGCTTTCTGAGTCACGTTTGGCATTTCAAATAGTAATAGGTACGTAATTTTACAGTATGACTGAAAAATCATTATTAGAGGAAAAAGCAAGTTTGAAGAAAAAATGAAGGACAAGTAAAATTAAAAAATAAATCAGTACTTATTGTAGGTGCTGAAGGTTTGTGCTGTCCATCGTCTTTATATTAAGTTGGTGCAAGTGTTGCTCACATTAGTGTTTTGGATTACGATGACGTAAAACTCAAAATATTTATGAAAAATTGTGAAAACTAAGCATTCAAAATTAATGAATTGTATTTTTGCTTTCTAGTTGCAAGCTGAGTCAATTAAGAAAAATTCAAATCATTTAGGCTAATAGTAAAAGAAGAATGTTTCCTTGCACTTTGGAAAGGTTGTGTTCCAGCTTAACTCTTAACAGTAATTTATGGAACACGTCAAATATATGCAAGACTGCAGATTCAAGGATTTGAGATAGAAGACCGTTAAGAGGCTTTTTTAAATGCACTGGTTTAGGAAACTGTTTTGTTTTGAATGCTAAACGAGAAGAAGTACCAGATCTGTTTAAAGGCTTGTGTCCTAGTTAATTTAAAGCTGCTTTTATGATTGCGTTGCATTTCACTTTTTATGAACAGATTTTAAATCTCATTATAAGCTTTCATGAGATGAAGTAGTAGGTCAAATAAATTTATTGCTGCTAATAAATAGTAAACAATACGGGGATGGCTTTCCTGAGGTGTTGCAAATAATGCAACACTCTCAGGCAAAGTCTTGTAATGTACCGCATTACAAAGGTATAATACGATTATTACAATTATTGCCGATCTTCAACTGAATATCACTATCGAATGCATCTGAGGCGTGCTCTTCTATATTTTCGCTTTCTTCCTCACCTTATTCATTATTATTATGGAGAACATTTTGTTGTATATTATGAATCCTATTCCGGACTCTCGCTATTATGTCAGCGTCAGGTATAAATGTTTCTACTTTTTTATTACAATTTCTTAACGCGAGCATTTCTTTAATCATTCAAATTGATCGCGTCGAAGCCAAACTTAATTTATTTTTCCATTTGTTTCTTATATAATTGTCTTTGGACCAGATAAGTTCTGGTTGTGCATTACTGTGAAGAGTACAGAGTGCACTGAGCATAAAATCAGCTAGTTTTGTATACGGGCGAAACCCAAGTTCTTCCTGAATGTCTCGTACGGCGAACCAAAAGTAATCAGTCCTTACGTTTTTCGGTAAAGCGTTGACAAAATCTTGCTCGTTGTGAACTAATAAATCCCACTCCATTGCTATCATTTCTTCAATCCGTTCAGGAAAGCAACGAGGAAATTGTTGCATAAGTGCATTGATAACATTGGGATTATTAATATGGTAAATTTCCGACAAAGCATTCAGTAGTAACAGGCATTTAGTACATTTATATCTGACCCAAGGCAAAAGAAGTAGATTATACCAATGAGTAGCCAGGTGAATCAATGATCTTCTTATTCTATCCATTGTGTGCGCATATTCTTCTTGAGGTAAATCTGCACCTGAAATATAGTAAAAGATATTAAAGAATACAAAAAATTGTATCATATTAGTGTTTTATTATATTAATATATTATATATTATATTGTAGTTTTAATCGGAAATAACGTTATTAATAGTGCGTGATAATTAAATAAAATTTAAAATATACTAATACGACGAGCTTCAATGCCAATTCGCATGTCGTTATGGGGCAAAAAGTCATCAGGATTTTGTAAATCAATATATATCAAGTCAATATTTTCAACGTAATCATGTTCCATGTAACATAACACTATGTCTTTAAAATCAGCGCAAATTCTATTAACAATTTCCGGAAGAATGACTTCTTCAGTCTGCAAAAATCCATTAAAATCTTCGCGGACTTTTAGAATAAAACATATAAAAGCAATACAACATTGTATTGATGATAACCTC